TTACCAATTTCCGCCATGAAAAACGAAAAGGACTTTAAGTTTTAAATGAATTGAAATTCCTAGATTCTTTTGAGATTCATTGAACTTTTCAATGGCATGTTTAAATCTCGATTATGCCCTTCAAGTTTGTGACTGGGATACTGAGGATCACAAACAAGGTGTGAATAACCATGCAAATGTACTTGGTACTCTCAATGTCATTTACCACCTAATCAATGTGCCGGTTAGCCACACACGTTCCATTGATTTATGAGAAACATCAAGCTACCCTTTACCACCTTTGCGAGTCCCAAATTAGTGTGCCGGTTAACCACACATGCTCCACTAACAACTTGGCAAGGTGCAAAGTGTAATTTCATGGAATAGCATACATTTTCATATTTTTCCTGAAGTAACTAAGATTGAGAATTTATAAAAACATTTTGTTACTTTATATAATCATTATACTTATTAATGAGGAATTGGTTGCCCTATCCTACTCGTTCGGCTAACGACCCTCCACCAATCAAGGAAGTGGTGGGTGAGAGTGGACACCATTAAACTGCCATTTTATAGACAACAACCTTATACCCCCCTTATATATCGGCTTCGTGAATTAGGTCTACTAACGGTAAGACTAGCTTTATCTTATATATATATATATATATATATATATATATATATATATATATATTAATCTTTTAATATTATAATAGTATAAGGGTTGAATTTTAACTTTTAAAACTCTAGGGTTTAGAATTTAATTATTTCAAAATTAAAAGTATTAATCAAAAAAGCTTAAATTCCATAACTTGAGGGCAAGTTTTGAAACTTTTCAAAACATCTTTTAGATTAAATTAGAAAATAATTAATTAATCATATAATTAATATTTATCACATAATTTGACCTAATCTATTTTCTTGACTAGATAATTCAAATCAAAAATACAAATAATCAATTTTATCTTATAAAACAAGTAATTATCTTAATATTATGACAATTATCCTTCAATTGAATTAGGATAATCAATACTATATTGAAAAAATCGAGTTTTATCTGTCAAAATCGTTTTTGGTAATTATCCCAATTCAATTTTAGTCAAAATCCTGAAAAATCAGCCACCAGACGAGCCGACTCGCCGAGTCACAGAACTGGACTCGTCGAGTAGCCCTGACTCGTCGAGTTCATCTGGTGACTCGACGAGTCCATCAGTAAGAGGCTTGATTTTTCGACTTTTGAGCTTAAGCAAATTAGCTATGCATCAAATACAAAAGAGAAACGATCTAGGCTCTGATACCATTGTTGGGTTATGAGCAAAACAACATTCCTATGGTGTTCATGCAAACCCTAATGCTTGGATCTAGTTTTTCTATTTGTACATGCAACAATTGTCCAAGACTTGCAAACCCTAGTCTAGCATACAATAAAATTGAAAACCATGTCTAATAAACAAGTTAGAAAGTTACCTTTGATTGTAGCTTGAAGATCTTAAGCTTTTGAGAACCTTAGCACCTCAAATGTTGTGCCTCTAATAGATCACAAACACCAAAGCAGTTGGAGAATGCAAGAGAGAGAGAGGGGAAGGTAATTTTCGGCTCCAAGGAATCCTTTAGGGTTAGTTTAGCCGAAAATATGAAGCCTAGGGACCCTTTATATAGGTGAGGAATTAGGGTTTTAGTCAAAGTCCTCATCCGGTTGCTTAGGCTCTAAGCAGCCCATAAGAATCTTCTAGAATCCCTCCTTGGACGAAATATTATGGGCTATCAATAAGGATTTCGTCCAACCCCTTTCCAAGGGTTCCTCAGCCCATCTTGCAATTATCCAATAATTACAAGTTCAGTCCCTTTAATTCAATTAACCTCTTTTGACCACAAAAATAATTCTAAGTTAATTATTGACCAATGTTAATTAAATAATATGATTTCTCCTTTAATATATTATTCATATAATATATTAATAAACCATAATAACCTCTTTCTCCATTATTCATCCAGTCAAGTTGCTCTGGTGAAGGCAACCCAAAAGGACCATGCTACAACCGGGTCAAGTACATACCAAATAGAGTTATGGCTTAGACACCTAATGTCACTGTAGCACATGAAACTTTTTACATTTGGCTAATTTGGTCATTAAAGTTCTTTTTGGTACATTAGACCATTAAACTCGTATATGACCTATTAATTTAGTCATTTTCCATACTTTTAAACGGTTTCGTGGTTGACATTTTATATATGTCAATTAATATATATTTTTTGGCTAAGCCGATGCCACGTGAGATATGCCACTTCAATAAATGATATACAAATCTTAAAGCCTTTCATCTTCAGCTATCAAATTTCACTCGTCTTCATTATTCAGCTGTAAAAGAAACTGATTTAGGGTTTGTGAAACATTTCTGTGATCGAGCTGAAGAACCAAAGAAGTTGCAGCAATGGCACAATCGGAACCTAATAGAGATTTGCGATGGTGGAACTCAACTACCAAGGGGTATTTAATCGAAATCCTTTCTCTTACACTGGTGATGTGAAAACCATGTTCATTGATGTCGACTTTTCTTCTATGAATTATTCTGAGTTTGTGACCTTCTGCAAACATTTCATGCATGAAGAGTGTAAAAAGTTTTACTACTGTGAACCAGGCAATTCCCTGATGGAAGAGCTTAGTCCCATTTCAGATGATGTGGAATATGCTGCTTTTATTTTTGATGCTTATGGAACAGATGGTGTAATTTCGGTTTATGTGGATCATATTGGGGTTGGTGTTTATGGGTGGTTTGATGATGAAGATAATAATGATGATGAACATGAGTCTTCTATTGATGGTGAAAATGAAGATAACATAGATGAACTTAGGAATGTTGCCTTTGAATTTAATAAGGATGTAGTGCATATGAATAGGACATCAAATGATCCTTTCTTGAGTAAGTTATGTGTTGATGAGGAGGAGGATAACAACATTGTAGATGATGATAATGGGAGAGAAGTTGAACCTAACATCCAAACTCATTCCATATTTAATGAGTTATTACACTAGAAAAAACAAAAACCAATTCTAGGAATGAGATTTAAGGGCCCAGGGCAAGTAAAATCAATGTTGTGCAACTATGTTGTGGCTAATGGATATCAACTGTGTTTTGAAAAAAAAATGATAAGAAAAGACTTTTGGTGAGGTGTAGCAAGGGTGCTTGCACATTTAGATTATGGGCTTCTTGGATGAGTGATGAAGAGAGTATCCAAATCAAGTCACTAAAAGCTGATCATAATTGTGCTAGGAACTTCAAGTTTGGATCATTGGTGACATATGCATGGATTGGGAGTCACTATACCAAAGAGATTGTATAAAGTCAGAAAATGAGTGTATGGAAGCTTTGGGTAAAGGTAATGACCAAGTTTGGTATCCAAGTTAGTATGGGCCAATGTAGGAGAGCAAAGAAGTATGCACTGAATCTTGTTGAAGGTAGCCTTGTTGAACATTATGGTAAGCTATGGTCATGAGATTTTAAGGACAAATCATGGGTCAACTGTGAAACTAGATGTGGAGGATGGTCTAAATGGAAAGAAATATTTTAGCAAGTTCTATGTTTGTTTTCAAGGAGTTAAACAAGGTTGGATTGAAGGGTGTAAAAGGATAATAGGTCTTGATGGATGTTTTCTTAAAGGTGTTTGTAAGGGGGAATTGCTTTGTGCTATTGGGAGGGATGTAAATGACAAGATATATCCTATTGCTTGGGCAGTGGTTAGTGTGTAGAACAAGCAGAATTGGAAGTGTTTTTTAGAGCTTCTCATTGATGATCTAAACTTGAATTTAGGCAATGACTTCAGTTTAATGTCAGACCAACATAAGGTTAGTATTTTACATAGTAATTCATTTATATTTATTTTATACTATCTGATTTAAACCTTTTTATTAATATAGGGTTTGATTGAGGCTGTTAAAGAGTTGCTTCCATATGTAGAGCACAGACAGTGTGCTACACATATTTGCCAGAATTTGCAGAAGAGATTCACTGGTGCCATATATCATACCTTGTTTTGGATAGCATCTAAAGCCACAACTGAGCATGCTTTTAAAGTTATGATGAAGGAAATTGAGACATTGAACCCAGATGCCCATCAATATCTCATGGAGAAAGATCCTAAAACATGGTCAAGAGCTTTCTTTCAAGCTGAAAGGTGTTGTGATGCAGTTGAAAATGGCTTCTCTGAAAGTTTTAATGTTGTAATAGTAGATGTCATGAAGAAGCCCATAATAACCATGTTAGAGGAGTTAAGATTATACATGATGGACATAATGTACAACATGAAATTAAAGGGACAACAATGGGGAAATCATATTTGTCCATAGATAAGGCATAAGGTGAATTTGCTTAAAAAAATTCAAAGACATTATCAGTTACTACCTAGTGGATTAAACCAGTTTGAGGTAAAGGGGGCAACAGATGCATATGAGGTGGACTTAAAAAGGAAAACATATGCATGTAGGTTGTGGCAATTGAATGGATATGGATGTGCTCATTCTGTAGCTAGCATATCCTATCTTAATAGGGATGTAGAAGCCTATGTAAACAACATGTTTAGCACCACCACTTTAGGAAGGAATACAATTACAGAATTGCCCCCATGAATGGCAGTGACATGTGGCCAGAGACAAATTATACTCCACCATTGCCTCCTATTAGGAGAAGGATGCCTGGTAGGCCAACTACTAAGAGGAAGAAATCCACTACAGAGAATACATGAACACACATGGTTTCTAAGGCTGGAAAGAAAATTAGATGTAGTATATGCAAGGAGATAGGTCACAACAAGGCCACTTGTCCATAGAGAAGGCCCCAAAAGTTAAATGTGAAGAAACAGAAGAAACAAAAATTTTGTGTGAAGCAAAATGCAGGACAGGTAAAACCATTTAAAATTTAAATTTATTTACATATGATTTGCCACTAACATAATTATATCATGCCATATAGGGTAGTACAAGTGAACCATAACAACATGAAGAGGTTGAAAAGACTCTAATTGATATGGATACTACTCAAAATGATATGCAAGTTACTCCTACTGATGTTGAATCCAGTAATGCAGGGGATTTTATTCAGTCTATACAAGTTACTCCACCTAGAAGTTATGAAGGTGATGAGGGTGTTGTGGGTGAGGAGACTGTTGTGGGCAAGGAAGCTGAGGAGGGTGGTAATGTTCAAGATGATGAGGTTATTCCTAATGTCCAAGTTGTTGATAATGTTCAAATTCAAGAGGTTGTTCCTATTATCTAGGTTCAGCAGGTAAGGGTTAGACCAATTTCAGAGATTTTGAAGAGGATAAGGAGAAGAAAGTCAGAGAGAATCTTGAAGCTGAAATTAGGTAAGAGAATTGGTGGTGTTGATGATCCAGAAAATTCTAAGGGAAAAGCTCTTCTAATTGATTAGTGTTGATTTTTCCTTTGTGTTATTTGGATTTAAAGTATGTGTGTTAGGATGATGGTAATTTGGATTTAAACTTTACGTATTAGGATGATGGTAATTTGGATTTAAAGTATGTGTATTTCAATACATGTGATGTGATCATTTATGTATGCATGGTGCCTTTTTAAGTTCACTCATGACATAAAAGGGTATTTTGGTCATTTATGTATGCATGGTGCCTTTTTAAGTTCACTCATGACATAAAAGGGTATTTTGGTCATTTATGTATGCATGGTGCCTTTTTAAGTTCACTCATGACATAAAAGGGTATTTTGGTTATTTATGTATGCATGGTGCCTTTTTAAGTTCACTCATGACATAAAAGGGTATTTTGGTCATTTATGTATGCATGGTGCCTTTTTAAGTTCACTCATGACATAAAAGGGTATTTTGGTCATTTACATATGCATGGTGCCTTTTTAAGTTAACTCATGACAAAAAAGGGTATTTTGGTCATTTATGTATGCATGGTGCCTTTTTAAGTTAACTCATGACATAAAAGGGTATTTTTGGTCACTAATGAATGTATGTTGCCTTTTTAAGTAAACCGTTGACATGAAATGATATTTTACTCACTTATGAAAGTATGTTGCCTTTTTAAGTAAACTCATGACATATGACTTTGAATATTTCTGTATGGAAAAATTTGGAATAATGTGCATGCATGTGAATGTGTTATATGGTCCCAGATATGGTTCTATAATGGGTTCAAAGGTCCCATTTTTCCATTATAAAAACAACCACTGACTATTAACTACAAATGGTCCCCATACATATTGTGTACTTCTACATGGACCACTTTCTAATTTGTTCCCAATATAATAACATGCACAACAACCAATTTAATTAAATATAATTGTTGGGAATACAGGCCACGCATATGTTTCAATAACATCAACATTTTCAATAACATCAACATCTGATTATACAAAATGCCCTACAATTGGGACTTTTAATATTTTTTTACATTAGTTATCATATGCCCTTTCATTAAGGACTTACCAACTTACAATGTCACAACTAGCATTTTAGCTAGGAAATTCTATTCCTGTGTAATCATCCAACCATTGTAAAACAGATACTCTAAGTAAATATCACTCAATGCTCATTTAAATTCACCTTTCATGTTCAACAAAGAGTCTGAAAACCCTAGGAATCCCTGTTTAAGTCCATATTGGACTAGAATTTCCTTATTGGGCCTAATGGACCAATAAGTATTAAATTCAACTATTTTGGGCTTGGAAACCCTATTTGGATTCTAAATGGACCCAATTCACAAATCTATAACATTTTGGACTATTTGGGCCTAGAATGATTCATTCTAACCCTAATGGGCCTTATTGGGCCATAGCTAACCCAATTAAACCTAGTAAGCCATAAATCCATTTTTATGCCATTTTGGGCCGTGAACTACCTAAAGGCCCAATGGGCCGAAAACTTCTTTATGGGCCTCATGATTTCGAGTAAGGATCAAGATTGGGCCAAAATGATTCATCTTCTCCTTCTTAATGTAATTCTCGGCCCATGAGTAAAAAAAAGAAATGAAATGGGGGTTGACTTTGGTGGTGCCACCTCCATATTATTCACCATGTAACAAGGCAATTGTTTCTCATGTTTCCATGCAAACTCATCTCACCCTCTCTCTTCTTATTACATCGGCCGAGAGCAAAGACCACACACACACACATACTTCATTTTCAAACACTCTCCAAACACTCTTAAAGATCATCCTTCTTCCTCCAAGATTTCGAAATTTTGCTAGGGTTCTAAGGATCTTCATCAAGTATTTCCAATCTTTGGTAAGTTATTATTAAACACAAACATCTCCTTTCATTTTAACATGAAAAACTCCTTCTTACATAGCTTTATTCCATGATCACACCTTAGAAACTTCATAAGCTCGAAAACTACTTCAAGGTGTTGCTAGGACCAAAAATCTCTCCATCTCTTCTTCAAAACCGAAACATCAAAGCAAATGTGAGTTCATACCCCCTTGTTTTCGGTTTTATATGATTTTTGGGGGAGAATGCAAGTAAAATGTGTAGATCTATGTGTTATATGCATGTCTTGTGTGATTTCTTAGTTTATTTTGTAAAAATATGTTAGATCTTAACAAATCTCGACATCTTAAGTAACATTGAGTAAAGATCCATGAACTAAGACACTTTATACATTATATTATCAAGTTAAAAGCGTTTATATGTTTAAGATATAAAAATTTAGAGCAAAAACCTTGTTAAGGGTCAAAATCGTCAAGAAAACAAAAGATAAGGGCAAAAAGTGACATTTACGGTTTTTAAAGGACCAAACAGGTCCTACTTGTATAAAAATGGTTTTTTATGATAAACATGCTTTCCAAAGGGCCCAAAATGTAAATTTTAGCTTAATGGACCAAATATTTGGGCCTCACGGTTTTGGGCCCAAAATTGCGAAAAATGGAAGTTTTGGGATTAAAAATGTTATTTGACCAAAGTTTGAGCCATAAATGTAAATAAACCAAATTTAGGGGTGAAAATAACATTTATTTCTAAATTGGACCAAAAATGTAACTTTTATCAAAATTGGGCCGAAAGTGTCAATTTTACAAACAAGGGGATGAAAATGCACTTTTCTGCAAAACTGGGCCATAAATGTCAAAATATATATATTTTTTGGACTAAATCCGTGAATTTCTAGACATTTGGGACAAAATTACAAATTTTTATAAATTATGGACTAAAGTGTCATTTTTACAAAACTTTGGGCCTTAATTGAAAATTTGAAGCGTTTTGACCAAAAACGTTGTTTTACAAAAAGGAGACTTTTTATAATCAATTTGGTAAACCTCGAGCTAAAATAAACAACGAAACAATAACGAATGGACGAAATACATCGATAATAATTTTATTGGGCCTAATATTCATGTTACGTGGCCAATGGGCCTTAAGGGCCCATTCAAGTGTATATTGAGTCCAATATTTTCCATGACATGTTTATTGGGCCTTGCGACCCATTTACATATTAATTTGGGCCTGAGTTATGGGTCACATGTTTGTTGGGCCTTTGTGGTCCATTTACATGCCTATTTGGCCCAAATTACCCTCTTACATGTTATTGGGCCTTTGTGGTCCGTTTACATGCTAATTGGGCTTGGACTGAAATTCACATGCTTAGTAGATCGTAACTATACCTTTACATAATTATTGAACTTCGTATACTTATATATGTAACTTTGGATTTGATAACATACAACGTACACGTAAACATTAAACATAGTACAAAAGGTTGAGAATCTAGTGAGACGTGTCGGTTGTCACCTTTGAGTGTACAATCGTAGCCTGTAGTTATAACCAGAGTTTCCTGGAGGGAGAGCGGGAGTTTGTGTATAGATCTATACGGGGTGACCCCTCACGCCTTAGCTGTTCGCTACAGCTAGACTAGGCCAGTCTAGGGCGACAAAACCTTGAGCAAATACCGGCATTTGGAAAAATGCCAAGACAGGCAACCTAGTCATTATCATGTATGGTTATAACGACTCATATAGAGATCCAACACCAAATTTAACACTTCGGAGATTAACCCTTCGATTGTGTCAGTACAAAACAACTTATTTAACGATACAAGAACCTCGACATTATTATAAATCAGAAATATCAGATTTTCTGGGGAAATATTAATATTCAATTATCACTTACTTACATTACAAAGAAATTTAAACTACATTCATATATGTTACTACTATGAAATTCACACATGCATCTATACTTGATTTTCACATCATTTTCAGACACTTTATAGAAAATATCGGATTTTCTGGGTTTTACAAAAGATACAAAGACTTTTATCCAAACATACTTATGAACTCACCAACATTATATATGTTGACCGTTTTCAAAATAACTTGCATTCTCAGGTAATCGTTAAGCAGGAAGATTTTCAAGTATGTATGGATTTATTTTGTGTAACATCACTCAACGTACTATTAATACTTTGAACCTATATGATTTATAACAATGTACTTGATGTGAACAATGATGGTTGTTATATGTAATGTTGGTGATGAATGTGTTATGTTTCATGTATATTCATTGATGATAATTTAATTGTTAGTCACACGAGCCCCCGGACGTTTCTGCTGTCTGGTTCGGGGGTGTGACATATAACATCAACACATCAAGGTTGATAGCCCCAACTTGTAACTAAAAGCAGCTTCAAAACATACAAAATGCCCATCATTACTGACTTTCTAGTCTGCCTTTACAAAAATACAAAAGCTTACAACAACCACCCTAACTAAGTACAATCACCCCCTAACTTCAAAACACAAAAGACCAAGCAAGCAAACAACAAGGCAACTATCATCCTGTACCTGCCTATTGCCTTCCTTGCATCATAAACTTCTTTCTCACTCTTTTCCACCTTATACTGCTCCTGTGACAGCAGGAACTCCACTTCAACAATCCTTCTCCTCAAATTGTTCATCTCAGACAGATCCTCTTTAGCATCCAGTTTTTGCTTCAGAGAATATAGAAGGTTTTTGTAGTACCCTTCTTCATGTTCTTCGTCTTTCCATTCAAAGAAGCTACATTTCTTCAACCTAGTCTGTAAAAAGCCAATGCATCAATAAATGAAAATGCTTTGATTTGGATAGTAATTAAAGATTAAGAAAATCAACTACCTTTAATGTACTAACGAAATGGGTTTGATTCACAATCACAAATAATCGTCAAGAACAAAATAAAATTAGGTTTTTTTTATTTTATTTTTATTTTATTTATTACAAAATACAAATCGACCATGATCGTCTTTACACGAAGAAACACCACAACAAACCCTAAAATACTAAGTTATCAAGATCAGGATTATCGGGACCTACCAAAATGTTTTGACAATTCCAGAAACGCCTCCCATGGTTTATTATCTTCCAACACGTTCGTTCTTTAGCTGGAACGCCACAATCACAAAGCTTTACCCCTTCTCGCGACTGAACACGAGTCACTTGTAGCTGATTCCTTGAAGTGGATGAGCTCGAAGACATTGCTCTTGAGGACGGAAAGAGTCGGTGCAAAGGATTTGACTTTTCATAAAAGGGTAAGAAACACTTAAATGAAGGTCCGATTGAGGGTTTCAATTAATAAGGCTTGTTCGACAACTCGACTTCTTCGACACATCAACATCCCACGTAAGCTTATTGGACACATCAGCGTGCCACATAAACATTGTAACCGGTAAACCTTCTAATTTTTTAGATAATGGTGTAATTAAAAGGCAAAAATAGAGTTTAGTGATCTAATGTACCAAAAAAAACTTTAATGACCAAATTAGCCAAATATAAAAAGTTTCATGTGCTAAAGTGATATTATCCCAAAACATCAATATTCTATGTTAAAGAAAAGTTAAATACTAAACTATCTCAATTTCTAGACCACAATGATTATTCATGTAATTTACAAGATAATCCAAAGGCTATATTGATGGATTATTTTCCAACATCCCAAAGACCCTAAATATAGAACTTAAAAAGAAGCAACTTGGGACTCTTTCAACGTTGACATCCCCTAAGAATTTTTCTTTCAAATTGCAAAACTTACAACTTGAATGCATGAAGCAATATTAAATCAAATAATTGGAAAAGAACAAGCGTTGAATCTTGAATTTTGACAAGTCATGTATCTGACTTAGCAACCCATAATCGAATGCAATTGCTCAAAATTCCGAAGGGTGATTAATCTTTTTTACTTGTTAATTTATTATTTATCTTCAACTTGTAGAGAACAAACATGACCCAAACCCATTGTCCCAAAAATCGCCGGCTGAAATATTATTGTGCTTGGACTCTCTATTAAAACACGCAGCAGCAATCATACAGATACATTTTATATCGACAGAGAGAGAAGAGGGACGAATCGACTTACCCCCCATTCCACAAGTTGATCCAATTATATATATACACACACCCATCTTGCGAAATTACAGATATCCCTCTTCCTTCGACTTGTTTTCAGATCTTAGAGCCCATTGAGCGATCTTTTCTCATTGAAGATTACTTTGAAAGAAACAGTCGATTCAGATAAAATATCGCGTGAATCAGGTATCTTTTAGTTTAACGTGATTATTGAATAATCCCCAATTTCTTGGGAGTTTTAATTCCGATTTATTTTAGTTAGATTTCATCTTGAAACGTTTGAATAGTCATTGGTCAATGAGGTTTCAAATTCGCATAAAGATTTGATCTTTTTTTCTGGGTTATCGCTCAATGCTTCAACCCAGGTGTTACGTTGGATTATATATACATATATATGTGTGTGTGCAAACAAACACATGTATATTGCGTGTGGGAATTAGGGATTCGAAGACACGAATGTTTCGTGTTTATGTACGCATGTCTGTGTTGGGAGTTGGATTTGGTCTCGTTGACTTAGAAAGGGTAGGTCTGACTTCCATCTCTTATAGTTTGTACCTTCTATAAGCTTTGCTTTTTTAGGTTGCGAAGGCATCTACCCCTTTGATCCACTTCATCTTCTTTTGTATTCATTTATCTTTAATCCTCCAATTGCCGTTTTATAGATTCCTGTTGCTTCAAGTATCTTCCTGAACCTTATGCTTCAAAGGGATGATATGTTAAAAGTGTGTATATCCAAATACCCAATCGAGCTAACATAAATCTAATAATACAATACTCTAAACCAGTCTGACTTTGTTAGTTCAATCTGATTCATGTTTTCCAAGATCAAGGATCAAGAATTTAGAAGCAATTTTTAGAGATCCATTCTAAAGATTTAGTATATGAGTATTGTAAGTAGTATATGTCATTGTCTATACTTTGCTTTATTGCTAGTATCTGCTTTCCTCTATTCGGATCTTTGTATTGTTGTTCTAATCTCAAATTTGTTATTTTCAAGATTGACAGATTTGACAATGCTATTTTTCTTGTTTTCAGGTTCATCTATAAATCTTGATCTTGAAGTCATTTGGTGGGCTTTTTCTTTAAATCTTTGAGCTTATTGACCATTGTCAAAAAGGGTCAAATAATCTTGAGGACATAATTGTGTGATGCATAGAATCTAAATGAAGTTAGCAAAGGCGTGGCGTTTAGGCATGAAAGACATGCAGATCTTGCCTCCGCCACGTCATCGTGGTCACCAATTAAAAAAACCAACATGGATACTTGTATTGATTTCATTGGTTTGCATGTTTTTAGTTGTTGCTTATATTTATCCACCTCAAACTTCTAGTGCCTGTTATATCTTCTCTTCTTCTGGTTGTGAGACGTTTTCTAGTTGGCTTCCTCCTCCTATAAGAGAATTTAGTGATGAAGAAATAGCTTCTCGTGTGGTAATTAGTAGCATTTTGAATGCCCCTCCAATTCATTCCAAAAATCCCAAGATTGCTTTTATGTTCTTGAGCCCTGGATCATTGCCTTTTGAGAAGTTGTGGGACAGATTTTTTCAGGTATGTAATACATTTAAAATTCTTTTCTCGTTTTGAATTCTAAGATAGTATTTGGTAGGATGGAATTGGGGAAAGGAATGGAATTGGGTAAGGAATGGAATGTAATAACTCATTCAATTCCATCCATCAAAACAAACACTAAGGTGTTGTTTCTTTTACACTTAAAGGACATAATGGGGACATTACAAAATCTTTTCCCATTAAGTCCTAACTTTTTACAAATTTCCCCTCATTTATTTCTCCTTCCATTTCCCCATGTGTGATGTCATTTTCTCAAAGATGTTTTTAAGCATCAGTTATAACATATAACATTTGGTCATCATATGCATATATGTCATCTAGTGACACTTTTTTTTTTTTTTTAAATATATGTAGGGTCATGAAGGTAGATTTTCAATCCATGTTCACGCATCCAAAGAAAAACCAGTCCACACCAGTCGTTATTTCATCAATAAAGAAATTCGCAGTGGCTCGGTTTGTTTTTTTATTTTAACTTATATTTTTATTTATAATTTTTATTTGATAGTGATTGGAACATGAACTTAGTTATCATATTAATGTCTTGGACAGGTAGATTGGGGGAAAATTTCAATGGTTGATGCAGAAAAACGACTTTTAGCAAATGCATTGAAGGATCCTGATAATCAACACTTTGTTTTACTTTCTGATAGGTCACAAGTCACAACACAATCTCTCCCTCATTTACTCATTTTTCTTGGTTTTTGATTTTTGTTATTGATATATATATATATTTTTTCTTTTTTATATTTCAGTTGTGTACCTCTGCGTGATTTTGACTATGTGTACAATTATCTCATGTACACAAATATCAGCTTCATTGACAGGTATCTACAACACTTTTAAAATTTACATTAAAAATTATAGTAAACTTATTCTTTAAAAAAACATTAATTCTTAATAACATTATTTCATGTTCTTTCCAGCTTCGAGGACCCTGGCCCACATGGAAGTGGAAGGTACTCTGAACATATGTTACCTGAAGTTGAGAAGAAATACTTCAGAAAGGGTGCTCAGGTATTTTATAAAATATAAATCTTTAGATGTGTTTCTAGATCTATAAGGCTCCATTTGTCACACATTACAAGATTAAAAAAAAACATTATGCTATAATATTTCAAATTGATAAAATCATTAAAAAACGGGTAGGCAGATTAATTAATTAATTAATTTATTTATTTATTTATAAAGTTTTAATGTTAAATTTTTTGCAGTGGTTTACAATGAAGAGACAACATGCAGTTATAATCATGGCTGATTATCTTTATTATGCAAAGTTCAGAGATTATTGCAGGGTGGGTGTATTTTTAATTTTTATACTTAGGTTTGTTATATTTCAAGATTATTATTTATTTAATTTGGTTCATTTATGTTTTTCTTTTATCTTACAGCCTGGCATGGATGGACAACGGAATTGCTATTCTGATGAACACTACTTGCCAACCTTTTTCCATGTGAGAACATTTACAAATTCCATTTTTACCCCTCGTGACCTTCTGCTCATGGGTTTCATAAAATTTATGATTTTTTTCTTAAAATGTTCAGATGCATGATCCGAATGGAATTGCAAATTGGTCAGTGACACATGTTGATTGGTCAGAAGGAAAATGGCATCCAAAATCTTATGGGGAGAAGGATGTTTCTGAACAGCTCCTAAAAAACCTTACGGTATGTTCCACAATTAGACTTTTGATGGAATTGGAATTCGTGATTCCATTCTATGTATTGCTTGTTTGGTTGCCAAATGGATGGAATTCAGTTCTGTTTGAATCCTTCAAAATTTTTCTAGTGAGTTTCACCATTCTTAGGAAAGGGTGGAAGAATTCAATTTGGATATATTTTTTATTAAAAGACCAAAATATCCTTGGTATATATAATGAAATAATAAAAATAAAGATTATGATTATGTATATTTATAACAAACAAACAAAATGTTTTAAATATAAGTAAAATGGAATAGTACAGAAAAAACATTATATGTTTATTTTCTTTTTTTTGGTAACTTGCCCTAAATAAAAGTTATTATTGAATTCCGTTCTTTTTTTTTCTTTCAACCAAACACATGACAAATTTATGCTTCATTTGGATTCCAATTCTTTTGAGTTTTGACAAATTCCATTCCTTGATAAAATACCAACCAATTTTTTTTTTTTTTTTTGAATTTAACTTAGAAAATAAGAAAACCAACCAAAATCCTTGGATAAAACTTATAATAATTGCGTTGTTCTTATTTCTTGCAGTCCATCACAGAAAGTGTTCATGTTACAAGTGAAGAAAGGGTACGTACCTCTGAAATTACTTTTTTACCCGTCATGGTAATGGTGATTCTTTAATCATAGAACCTAAACAAATACATATCTTTAATTGATGCATGCAGAAGGAAACCATGATCATGCCATGCCTATGGAACGGGATGAATCGGCCATGTTACTTATTTGCAAGAAAATTCTCAGCAGAGACTCTAGAAACCATGATAGATCTTTTCTCAAACTACACATCATCATCATTATCATCATCATCATCAAAAGCATGAGAGAGAGATTCTTCATTCTTGATTCTTGATTCTCGTTCTGATTCTTTGGTTTGGTTTGGATTTGTCCAACCACTTTTCACATTGTTGTAAAGCTTATTATCTACACAAAGATTCGTAAGGACCCAACAAATGAGAATATTCACTCTAAACTTGGATTCTTTCTGGGTTCAAGGGAGGGTATATTTGGGAAACATTTGAGATTTTTGAGTTAATAGTCAACCAACAGTTATGGAACACATTTCAGTTAAATTGTGAAGAAGAAAGGTATGGGAGAAAAGATGTTTCATGTTATTAATCCTTTAGTTTTTACCCTTCATTTTGGGTGATATTTGTATCATTTTGCGTATTTCAGTGATAGTTTTTGAATTTAGAGCAATATTATTGTACTGATTTTGGGTTGTTTCCCTTTCCTCCTTTACATGACAGATGACGTGGATGATTAAAAAACATATATTAAAAATAATAATATTTTAATAAAATTGATTTCCCTCTTCTTGTTCACAGTCACATCACTTGTGCTTTCACAACTAAATATTATAAATGAAAATCGATATTGATTTAAATGTAAAAAATTCCGAGTTTGTTATGTTGCTATTATGAGTAAAAATGAAGTACTTTTCCAATATTGGTAAAGGAAAACTCCAATAAAGTCTTAAAATTTTGATCCGGTTTACGTTTTAGTCCTAAATTAATTTTTGTTTACGAAAAAATCCTAAAAACCGGCAAAAGTATGCATTTTGACCCTTTTTGACCGGTTGGAACCGGCAACAAATTAATTTGGGACTATTTCATAAATTGACCTAAAATATTGGGACTATTTCACAAAATGACCCAAAATATTAGGACTTTTCTGCAAAAAAAAAATATTAGGACTTTTGTGCAAACAAAAACTTTATTATTATTATTATTATTATTATTATTATTATTATTATTATTATTATTATTAAAAATATAAACAAGTATACTGATTTTTAAATTCTTTATTATTAATATTTTTAATAATACATATAAATACACTTAAATAAAAAAATATTAAAGAGATTATTTAAAGGTGAATGTGATGGTGATGGTAATGCTTTAAGCATTGAAATCATAAATATATGTTTGTATATCCTCATTTTGTATATGATCATTTCATATTTTTTATTATTATTTTCAATTCAGAATATTAACACTTGACAATTTAAAAGAAGTTGCATATTAATAGAAAGTAATATAACTTGTTTTGCTTTATCACACTATAAAAATAATAATAACAAATGTGAAATGCTCATATACAAAGTTAGAATATACAAATAGACGTTCATGATTTCAATGCTTAAAGCATTACCATCCGCTCCACCTTCACCAATATATTTTTTTAATTTAAATGTATTTATATGTATTATTAACAATATTAATAATAACAAATTTAAAAAAATAGTATACTTATTTATATTTTTAATATAATAATAATAATAATAATAATAATAATAATAATAATAAGATTTTTGTTTGCAGAAAAGCCCTAATATTTTTTGTTTTTGCAGAAAAGTCTCAATATTCTAGGCCAGTTTATGAAATAGTCCCAAATTAATTTGTTACCGGTTCCAACCAGTCAAAAAGGGTCAAAATGCAAACTTTTGCCGGTTTTTAGGACTTTTTCGTAAACAAAAATTAGTTTAGGACTAAAACATAAACGGGACCAAAATTTTAGGACTTTATTGGAGATTTCCCTATTGGTAAACAACAAAGTATGTTGCAATTTCTCACAATATACTTTAGAAAGTTAAAAAGGGTACATAAATTAATGAGAAATTAAGTAATCTAACCTAGGGACGAGCTTTGGAACCGGACCAGAACCAAACCGGATTGACAGGGTTTAGAAAAAAAACTGGATTTTCGAGTTTACAAGAATTGGAAACTGTAATGCCGGTGTCGGTTCCGGTCCTAGTCCCGGTACCAGTTTTTCAATTGTTTTTCAAATTAGAACCGGTTTTGAGTATTTTTTATAACAAAACTGGTTTTGGAACCATGAATATACATTTTCAAAATGGAACTAAGAACAACAATGCATTTTCAACCACCACAAATTGAAAAACTAAGTTTAATAAAATTCAAATGACCAAGTTTCAACCATAGAATCAAGTAACTTTGATTTCATGTGAGTGAGTTGTGCGGGACAAATTCTAAAAAAAAAAGTAGTAAGTGTTGAAACAGAAAACACGCAACATTGATATGTTGTCTTCCGATACATGTACTGATTCAATATCTAGCCAAGTGTTAGTATAGTCTAAAATAAAGTACAAACACCAAATTAAATGCTGGAAAAAAATCAAGTAATTCCGATTTCATATGAGTGAGTTATGTACATTTTAAAAAGCGAGACAGATTCCAGTTTAGTTTCGGTTTTTTAATTGGGTTTTGTAGAATCGAACCGGGACCGATTTTTCTAAAAGTGGAGAACTGGTAACAGAGCCTTATTACTAAATCCGGTCCGGTTCCGGTTCCAGCGATTCTAAAACTCATCCCTAATCTAACCTATATAAGTGAGATTTTCAAAGAAAATAATTTTTTTTTTGTTTTTTTTTTCAGTGTTTGAAAAATAAACATTTTCTCCCGAATGCATCATTTCATATTACTGTTTATATTCCGAAGTTTTTTTGTTTTTTTTTTTCAAAGAATGCTTTCCGGGTTTGGTTTTCAAATTTTGAAGTTATTTTTTTATTTTTATTTTTTGGTTTTTTCCCTATTGTTTTGAAAGAAATGTCCCATTATGTTCGAAATGTCCATTTTGAAGTATTTAAGGTCATCATTTTTCAATAAAATGTTTGATTTTTTGTACTAATATTGTATATAGTTACATTACTATGTTTGTTTACCTTTTTGTTAGATTTAAGTAAAAAACGATTTTTTTCTTAAAGTTCCGGAAATTGTTAATCGGATTTCAGACTTGTTCTTGAAACTCCGGTGTTTTTTTAATCCGAAATTCCAGTCTGAAATCCAGAATGTCAGTTCGAAATGTATTTTTTTGTTAGAAAAAATGTTTTTTCTTGATTCCGGACCCAATGATTATTTTTTGCTAAAAACAAAATTTTCGAGTTATTTTCTTCATATACACATTCCCTAATTTAATCTTATAGGTTTTAAAACGTTATTAGTAAACTAATGATTTTTTAACCACAGGATTTATGAGGTAAAAAACTTTTTAGAATTGACTTGACTTTCTCGTAAAAAAATGGAAACGTTAATAATGTTGAAAGTGACATATTTATCCTTATCTATATTGCTTTCCGCAAAGCAACTTATATGAGAAGGCAATAAGTTGACGTAAGTCTTCATCTATATTTGCTACTTTGACTTTGAGTTTACTATTTACCCTTAGAATCTCTTCATATGTAAACTATGAATATTGATTACTTTATCTTTTACCGTTTTTGTTATATCTTTTGAAACACTTTGTTAATTGTCTGCGGTTTAGCTACTTGCTAATCGTATGGTTCTTTTATCACTATTCGTGTGGTTCTTTTATCAATATAAATATATTGCCGTTTCCAGAAAAGATTATTTTATCTAACCAAAAACAAATAAAATAAAAGATAATTAGTTAAAAGAATAAAAATAAAAACAAGTCAGCAAAAGAGCCGGCCATCCGATACGACATATGGTTGGCATTTTTTTTTTCATATATTTTATTTTCACATGTTATTTTTATTGGTTGATTTTTTGAGTGATATTTATCTAATAAAAAATAGATTTGATTCTATCTAAAAATAAAATAAAACTAATTTCGTAGCATCTTCCTTTATAAAAAGGATCCAACGTAGCCAAAATTATTGTATCGTAATTATTTTGCTATTGAAACCGGCCTTTATATTGTATGATAGTATTTTAAACTATTTTTTATAAGGGAAAATGAAACATATGACCTATGAATTTTCTAGGGTTTATCCTTTTAGTCACTAAACATTTTTAGTGACTTTACGAGGGAACAAACTTTATTTTGTCGGGTCAATTAAGTCATTATGTCAATTGTGAAGGGGTCAGTCGGTCATATTCCTGCCACATGTGTTACTTAACCCCCTTGCCTTGTTGACTATGTATGCCATGTCATTTACTAATAGTTCAACTTAAATGAGATCTTTTCCCGTCTACTGTTCACCATTCACCACTTCCAGCTCGTTTGATAAACCTTTACTTTCGTTCTGTCTCCTCAAACCTCAAACATGGATCCCGTATTCATCCAAGTCGATGTGCATTTCCAATGAATCTTTGCAAAATACCCCATACGATTTACCGGGGGGGGGGGGGGGGGATTACTCAGAGGTTATCAAACATCGATTTCGCAAGCATGGACAAGATCGGGTGTTTAGAATTTATCGAAAGGTTCATCGGAGAAAAGTGTGCAAAGTTCTATTACTGCCAACCAGATATTCATTTTCCCAAAGGTCTGACCTTAATTTCGAATGAGTTGGATTATGCCGATTTTACAGCAATAACGTATGAATGTGGTGTTATACTGCCTATGTATGTAGACCATTTTGGTAATACTAACATGCAGGAATGGTTGGAAGAACACAAAGAAGAGGTAGTTGATAACATAGTGGAAGAAGTTCTTGATGGTGCAGGACTAGTTAAAGAAATTGAGACAGACCATTTGGATGATGAGGATGAAAATGAAAATGAAGATGAGGATGAGGATGTGGATGCTGATGAAGATGAGGATAACCATAGCAGCCCTCATTTTATCAAAAAGGACAATGACCCTGATGTCGAAATGGGTGACAATGCAGCTTGGGGGGGGGGGGGGTTTGGAAGAAGCCATGGATGAGGATGAAGATGTTTATCCTCAATTGCCAAACATTTTCAATGAAAAGCTTCACTGGAAGGAGCAGGAACCTGTGTTAGGTATGAGGTTTGAGAGTCCTAAACAATTGAAACACATGCTCTGTAACTATGCTGTTGCAAATGGTTATCAATTATGTTTTGTGAAAAATTATAATAGACGGTTGCTAGCCAAATGTTGTGATGGAAAATGTACATTTAGGGTTTGGGGTTCATGGATGAGTGATGATAAGTCTTTCCAAATTAAGTCTCTTATTAGTGAGCACAATTGTTCAAAGAATTTCAAATTCGGATCAATTGTAACTTATAGATGGATAGGTACTCACTTTACCCAACAATTTTTCAACAATCAGAAGATGAGTGTGAGATTACTAAAATAGGAGGTGAAAACCACTTTTGGCATTGTTGTAAGTATGAGTCAGTGTAGGAGAGCCAAGAAGTATGCATTGAGTCTAGTTGAAGGCACGGTTGCAGAAAATTATGCTAGAATATGGTATTACGGTGAGGAGATTAAAAGATCAAATCCTGGATCCACTATTAAAAATTTTTGTGGATATAATGCTTGATGGTAAGAATTACTTCAGCAAGATTTACATATGTTTTGATGCAGTCAAACAAGGGTGCGTGGAGGGTGTAGACGGATCATTAACTTAGATGGTTGTTTCTTGAAAAGTTTTTGCCAAGGTGAGTTGCTGTGTGTTGTTGGTAGGGATGTTAACAATGGAATATTCCTAATTGCTTGGGCAGTTGTATGTGTGGAAAACAAAGAGAATTGGATATGGTTCATTGAAAATCTTGCAGAAGATTTGCAATGTTGGAATGATGGAAGTGGTTTGGTCTTAATTTCTGATCAACACAAGGTATGTTTGTAAAGTATTTAACATAGTATAATATATAATATAATAAATATTTACATTTCTAACTTCACCTATTACTGGTATATATGCAGGGTTTGGTTGAGGCAGTCAAAGAAGTATTCCCAGCAACAGAACATAGGCAGTGTGCTAGGCATATATATGCTAATTTTAGAAAGAGGTTTAGTGGAGCCAAGTTTGAAAATTTGTTTTGGAGAGCAAGCAAGGCAACAACTGAAGCACATTTTAACACAGCCATGAAAGATATTGAAAAGTTGAATCCTGAAGCAGTTAAGCATCTTATGGATAGAGATCCAAAGACTTGGTCTCTAGCTTTTTTTAGAGTTCACAAGTCATGTGAATCCGTGGAGAATGTATTTTCAGAAAGCTTTAATAATGTCATTTTGGAAGCTAGGAAGAAACCTATTATCAGCATGTTGGAGGACATTCGTATATATGTGATGCAAAGGATGGTCACTATGAAACTCACAGGTCAAGGATGGAATCGTTATTCTGTTTGTCCAAACATCAGAACAAGATTGAATATTCTCCAAAATGAGCAAAGGTATGCACACTTTTATTTCATACATAACTTACCTCTGTCAACTCTAAAATTTGCATTACTTTATGTAGGCATTGGCAGGTTGTGTCTTGTGGGAGTATGAAGTTTGAAACAAGGAATATGGATGAGTCATACATTGTCGATGTTACAAAAATGGAATGCAGTTATAGGTTATGGAAACTAAATGGGTTTGGTTGTGTTCATTCAGTAGCTACATTAGCTTTTTTAAACGTAACACCTGATGGTCCATATGTAGACCCTTTGTACCTGGCAGCCTTCTTCCATAATACTTACAAAAAGTCTATTAGTGGCATGAATGGGATGAACATGTGGCCTTCAACAACCTTTACACCTCCATTTCCTCCTTTAAAAAGAAGAATGCCAGGCAGGCCAAAAGTCAAAAGAATAAGCGATGCTTCTGAAATGTCTGGAAAACACACTGTTTCAAAGGCAGGAAAAAAGGTTTCTTGTGGCATATGCAAAGAGAAAGGGCACAACAAGACCACTTGCACTCAAGTGCCATGGCCACCTAAAACTAATTTCACAAAGAAACAAAAAATCATGCAAACACAAGAATTAGTGAATATGCATGGGGGTGGAGAAGATGTTGTTATGGGTGATGCAATTGAGCCACAAACTGATGAAGTTATGATGGTAAATGAATCTGAGCAAGTGGTCAGGGTTAATGAAGCTGAGGAATTGGTCAGGGTTAATCAAGTTGTTAGGCAAGTGAAAACTACGGGTCAACCAAGCAAGAGGAAAAAGTCAGAGAGAACTCTTAAACTAAAGCTTGCTAAAAGAGTTGAAGGTGAAGGTAGTAGTGTTGGATCGCCAATGGAGTTAGATTAATTACACTTCTAATTGTATGTCTGTAATGTGGATTGAACAAGGGAATTTATGTTTGCTATGTTGATGTATGTTATAACAATCTTAACATTTGATATTTGGATGTGTGTTTGTATTTATAATATGTATGGTATGTCATGTTATTATTAAAGTAGGGGTAGTTTGGTCATTTGAATCAGTTAATACAATAGGTGTATGGTATTTCATGTTATTATTAAAGTAGGGGTATTTTGGTCATTTCAATCAGTTAATACAATACATGTATGGTATTTCGTGTACTTATTAAAGTATTTTAGTCATTTCAATCAGTTAATAGAATACGTGTATGATATTTCATGTACGTATTAAAGTAGGGGTATTTTAGTCAATCGAAGAAGTTAAATTACATACAATCCCCCTAGGTGTATTAGTCTCATTTTAATTGGTAAAAGAGGGCATGTGAATGTTAGTTTAGGGGTATTTTTGTCATTTTAATTTGTTAAAGAACTAGGTGTATTTCTGTCATTATTTTTTATTTTAATAAACCGATCAGGGGTTTTAGAGGCAATTTATATTATGTGACTTAACCCACTAGGGGTATTTCAGTTAATATTTATTATGTCACTAAACCCACTACGGGTATTTTAGTCATAATTTTATTATTTGACTTAACCAATTAGGGGTATTTCATTTCTTCCCTTCATTTCTTCTAGGCAATTATTCAAAGTGGGCAATCACAAATACAACAAAAATGCACTTTTCATTGTTTTCCATTTCTGGGTATACACAATGACAAATCTAGGTATTAGATTCTTCTCTTTTGTCCCATGTCTCCACAAACAAACATTGGGATTCATGTTTTAATGGTATTAAACGTTTGACTGTTTCATGTGGTCCAAAGAACAAAATCAACATAAAAAATGCCTACTTCTTCACGACACATGCACATTTACATTTATAAGAGTACTCATTTTATAACAGGAACAAGTTAACTTAATCAATATTTCATTCATGGGTTTCTGCATCTTTACATATATTGAACAAGTTATAACATGATTTCCACAACTACCTAAGTACATACTAGAACCATCACCTGTGACTACCATCAAAATACTGATCATCACAACATCATGATCACAGAACCACCAAATACTACAACCAGAAACCAAAAGGCAACCAACAAAACCCGTTACTAATAAGGAGAATAAACAAGATGCACATCAAAACAAAATAGAAACCCAGTATTGAAATCTTTAACCTAAAGTTCTTGTGTCATTTAAAAAACCTGTAGGTTAAAACCCCCACAACAACAACGACAAAAACCCCAAAGACCCATTTCACTTTCTTCGACTTCTTTTTTCCCAGAACAATGTTGACATACGACGCTTGCATTGAACAAAAATGATTCTTCAAATCAGCAACCATGTTAGATAGATCGAGTTGACCTGCCCTAACATCATCAACTTCATGATTTAGGGCGTCCATCTCTCTAGTGAGGCTGCGTCGTAGTTTACAAAGGTCGTTTGCAATCTCTTCCCTCACAAGCGACACCTCCAACTGTGTCTGCAATAGATTGATCGCCAGGTCTTCATTTGTGACTCCATTCGACACATTTTCAGCCATGTGCCGATTGTAGTTGGGTGACCAACTATGATCTTGAGATGATCGTGAAGGCATCATTTCTGCATTTGGTATCAAAGTTTAAGGTGCAGTTGGGGTAACCAGGTTATGAATTGTGCCATTTTAGAGCACAAGCTTCACATCATATACGGAGGTGGGTGAACAGTGTGAACTTAGCCTCTATGTTTTGTTGGATTAGGTGTCTAAGCCCATAACTATAATTTGGTATGTACTTGACCCGAGAGTAGCATGGTCTATTTCGGGTTGCATATCACGAGGACAATTTGATAGGATGGATACTTGAGTAAGAAGTTGTTGGGTTTTGAGCATTCTAACACTCATAAGGTGTTCATGCAACCCTAAATACCTTGGATCTATTTTTTCTCTATTATACATGCAAACTTGAAGTTTCTAAGGTATTACCCTAACTAGCATATAATCATATGTATTTGCATAACAAAACTAGATAGAATACATACCTTTTCTTGTAGTTGATTACTTGGAGATTTAAGAGCCTAGAACCAATAATGTGAATGCCTCAAGTGGAATCACAAATCACCATCAACAACTTGGAAGACTTGAGAGAGATAGAGAGAGAGAGTTGCTTCACAAAATCGGCCAAGCTTCTTACACACACACTAGTGCCAATTTTATGAGCCAAGGACTACTTTATATAGTATGCATGATTAGGGTAAACCCTAATACCCATGACTTTCCACATTACTTAGGATCCATGGGTTAAAAGCTCTATGGACTATCCATGGACTTCCATGTAGGCTTAGCCCATCCTAAATAACATTAGCCCATATTATATGTGTCTATATTTAACTAGTCTCTTTTGATCACTAAATTAATTCCAAATTAATTCTTGATCAATACTAATTAAATAATATGATTTCATATTCATATATTAGAACTTATAATATATTAATAAATCATAAATATCCTTTTCTCATAAGTCTATCCATACAAATTGTCCCGGTGAAGTGCAACCCAAATGGACCATGCCGAGTCGGGTCAAGTACATACCAATTATAGTTTTGGACTTAGACACTAATCCAACAGTCTCCCACCTGGATAAGTCTAATAACTATTATTGCAAGTACGACTTCACAACCTGACTAGCAATCATAGCTCTTAAAGCCGTTGTCGAACTTTGAACAAATCAATGACGCGTCCATTAGATAAGGGATCATATATTCCTCCATTCTACAAGATATTATATGGACTGAGACATGGATTATAATCATTCTCTCTGTCCATCTGTTGTTTCCCGATTTCCGATTTATGACGACCGACTAATTGAACAAATCAAATCAGTCCAGGCTTGGCCAAACACTTAGGGGTGTCATCACTAAATCATCGAGGGGCCCATAAATATCGCTTTTATCCATCCAAGGGTAAAAGGAATGGATAAACTTCGATTCATATGCTTGTACTAACTACTTTTTGAATCATACACAAAGGCACGTTTTATAACATCAAGTTACTGATGCGTTTTCGTACAATTAGTGCACAACCAACTCATAGCCAACAATTCATATATCTAGTTTTGAAGAATATAAGATATTATCGTCTCATGATCACTAGTGATAAAATCCATGAAGTGCTTCAAATGAGCATGGGTTTTAATCCAATACTCGAATCTTATTCCAGGAGCACTCATGAATGTTGCGGCAACTTTTGCTATGTCTAAACACCTTAGACATCTAGAAGCCAAATTCATGACAGTCTTGATTCATACCTACTTCCAAAGTATGATTGACTGTGGAGAGTTTGAATAAACTTAGTTATTCGGGAAGTCAAAACATGCAAAGTGAAACACAAGAATTATACTAATCCTATATAGCCCCAAAACTTTTGAGAGTAAATAAAACACCTTTTATTTAATCACCATATTGATTACTCATTATTCATTGTATAATGTTTCGAATAATCAACTTTATACTTGAATTTAAACAATAGTTATGCCATGCTCCAAGCACGCACACTATGTTTGTCTATGGTCCTTTCTTTGTGGAATAGATCGATTGAAAACATTTCAATGATGCTCATTTCATAACTCCAAATCCTTATGATAAATGTAAGAATACCAAATTCTTACCATTTTCGGAAATCTGTTAGATCTAAACTTATATGCATTGATCATCTTGTAATGACTATGCACAAAAGTCACAAAGACTTGGCAACAGACATTACAAAGTATTTCAATGGAGAGCAATTCCATGGAAACGAAGTTTCATATTCAAAGTACATTCCTTTGAACATCCTTCTTGTATTAAGTTATCTTACACAGATTTAATGAATAATCTTCCACCTATGGAAACATTTCCATATTCCCATTTTAACTATCACTTCTGACCAAGAGTTGCCTCTTTTCAGAATATGTCAATATGGTCCTTCCAAAATTTACACTATACTTCCAACTGTCCATGAGCAACCAATCTTTGGTAAGCCTCAGATTGTCCTCGACAATTGCTTAATCATTTTAGTCATATTCAGTTCCGGTCCTTTTCCCTCTTAATGCCCTAGGCATTTGGAAAATTCAGAACACATGGAAATATTATAGCATATGTAATCGATCCTATGCCAGAAGCATATGGGATACGATTCATAATGTCTCACATAAAGGCATGATCCTAGACAAGCCTTTTGCTATAATTTTTCTATTTGTCATGTTCTCACAATTCGGACTATGAAGAGGGATACCGTAATCACAATCGAATTTTAGAACGCAAATAATGTTCCCATATATAGAATTTCCTTATGTTGAACCATTCCAACATAACATTCATTGATATACTTGACTAAGTTTGATTAAAATCTCAATCTAAGCTTTTAGAATTGGAATGAAGTATAATTTCCTCTCCCTTAATTATAGCTAAATAACTTTTCAAACCCTACATCTTTGCAAATTTGAAACTTTTGTTTTCTATATTTAATATTGCTAACACTTAACAAAATAATCATGCTCCCACTAACATGATAATTATTAGCATAACACTTATCCTCCCACTAGCTTTGACATGTACCCAAAAATCATCTGGACTTCTAGAAATCAATAATGTATTGACTTTCTTACCAAAAATCATACACCTTTCCGTAGATAGCTCACCCGTGTGTCTAAACAATTATGAAGAGGGATGTCGTAATCATAATGTTTAGACCTTTTTGCTATTTCTCACAAGTCCATGTCAGTGTGTCGGTTGACTACACACGCTCCACTAACGACTTTGAGAATGCAAATATTACAACTGCTATCTACTTAAAATCTACTTAGTGAAAGTGTTTCCTCACCATCATTTTCATGAATCAGAGAGAAACCTTATGAAACTTAGATTTCTATGGTGTATGTGTTCCTATCCATGTAAATTTGTCATAACCATAATCACAAGACAAGGTTAGTGACAAATCCAAACTCATATGGACTGAACTTGTTTAATCTTAATTTCTTGCCTCCTGGCAGCTCAAGGGCCTACCATTGCTTCCAGGTTGTTATGCAAACAATTGAGAACTCATAGAAATCACAAGCATAGTCAACTTTTGACTGGAATAGACACAGAAATAAGAATATGTCAACACGATAGTTTACAAACCTCAAGTCGTGGGCTAGTGATTAACAATACTCTTGATTAGTTCTTGAAACTATCTCAAGATCTTTTAAGACTCCCACTGACCTCTTGCCATATAAGATTTTTTTTTCAAGAACCATAAAACAAATATTCAAGAGTTAGTGCGGATTCTTACCAAGTTAAACACTTCACACAATTGGTCTTAGTTGGTGTTTGTTTTATCCAAAAATCACAACTTACCAATTTCAGATGTACCAGAGTAGAAAACATTTTACTCTACATTTGACAAGTGTTTTAAACCTTTTAAGATTATGTCACTCAAGGCTCAATCTTGGAGTATGATTCTAATATTTGATTTTGGAACGAAGTATGGTTGATCTTTTGATTTAACCATTTCAACAATTCACGATTCCTCTTCTTAGCCAGAAAAATGCACTAAGATGTCCTTAGAGGATCAATTGTGATATGGTTTCATAATCACTAAGATAATCATAAACCAAGATACTAAAGTACTCTCCCATCTCTTCAGATTGGAGAAACTTTTATCTTTCTGCCTAATTTGATTCTTCTCATTCGTTCTGCCTTGCATTGAAACTTTTCCAATGTTTCAGAATTACACTTAAACTTGTAAGCATAACCATATTTACTAAACTTTAGTAAATCATGACGAATAATCTTGTTATTCCTTGTAGTGGATTTGACCAGCGCACAACCAAGTGTACCCAATCCTTTACTCCTTCACTTGACTCACATTTACATGTGAACAAGGAATTAGTCTTAATTTCCCAAAGATGAAAATTCTCATTCATCATACAATACAAGTTGCATGATTCTAAGTTTCTATCCAACTGAAACTTGGGTGATGAGAATCTTTCCTTATTTGGTAAATTATGACACCACCACAAATGAAAGAATCAAATCCATTTTCCAATATTGCTATCAATGAAATCATATAAACAACAATTTTCCACTAATGTCATTGTAAGGATACTTAAATTAAATAAAATCAAAAACTTTTCTTTTATTTTAAAACTTGCGGAAAAACTTATCCTTACAATGCAAAAACATATGAAAAAACATGTTGTTATCTATTCCTAAGCAATATATCGTAACTCTTAAACAGCAGCTCAAAATTCTGATCACCGAACCATGCGATTGAAATCCATCTTTTCGCGATCAGAATCAACTTACTCTTTTTTTGAGCTTCCTTACTTTTCCTTGATTCTTCAAAACATGAAAATGTAATTACATTACATCATGTATTAAGAATCTCCAAACAGGAACTTAATAGAGTTAGATAGTGGACTTTACCTGAAGTAGAGTCAAAATTTTTGACTTTACTATCTTTTAGATATCTCAGGTAGTCAGGGAAGCTTCGCTTCCAATGTCCCTTCTCTTGGCAAAAGAAACATATGGACTCTTTGGAAATGGTACACGAGACTATCTCAGACTTAGCCTTTCTTTTTACCATTGGGTCAAACGACTTGA